GGGGTTTGGGGTCACTGGGAGGGGGTTTGGGGTCACTGGGACAGTGTTTGGGTCACTGGGATGGGGTTTGGGGTCACTGGGATGGGGTTTGGGGTCACTGGGACAGTGTTTGGGTCACTGGGACAATGTTTGGGGTCACTGGAACAGGGTTTGGGGTTACCAGGATGGGATTTGGGGTCACTGGGACAGTGTTTAAGGTCAGTGGGACAGTGTTTGGGGTCTCTGGGACAGTGTTTGAGGTCACTGGGATGGGGTTTGGGGTCACTGGGAAGGGGTTTGGGGTCACTGGGATGGGGTTTAGGATTAGTGGGACAGTGTTTGAGGTCACTGGGACAGTGTTTGGGGTCACTGGGACAGTGTTTGGGATCACTGGGACGGTGTTGGGGTCTCTGGGACAGGGTTTGGGGTCACTGGGCCAGTGTTTGAGCCCCCCATGTCCCCCGTGCCGGCAGAGCCGGAGCCGGTGCAGTCCCAGGTGAGCAAGACGGGCAAGTACGTCCCTCCCAGCCTGAGGGACGGCGCCAGCCGCAGAGGGGAGTCCATGCAGCCCAACCGCAGGGGTAAGAGCCGCTCCAGGGGCACCCGGGGGGGGCTTTGGGGACCCCCCCTGAGCCCCCCCTGACCCCCGGGTGCCCCCCCAGCCGACGACAATGCCACCATCCGCGTCACCAACCTGTCCGAGGACACGCGCGAGACCGACCTGCAGGAGCTCTTCCGGCCCTTCGGCTCCATCTCCCGCATCTACCTGGCCAAGGACAAGACCACCGGACAGTCCAAGGTGGGCAGGGGGTCCTTGGGGCACTGGGGGGGGTCCAGGGGAGCCCCCTCTCCCCCCCGATCCTTCCTCATCCTCCTTTTTTGCCCCCCGAAAAGGGCTTTGCCTTCATCAGCTTCCACCGGCGCGAGGACGCCGCCCGCGCCATCGCCGGCGTCTCCGGCTTCGGATACGACCACCTCATCCTCAACGTGGAGTGGGCCAAGTACGGGGGGGCCCGGCCCTGGTTGAGGGGTCCCTGTCACTGCTGAGAGGGGCCTGAGGGGGCCCTGGCACTGTTTGGGGGGTCCCTGGCACTGTTTTAGGGGTCCTTGTTACTGTTTGGGGGGATCCTGGCCTTGTTTCGGGGGCCCTGACACTGTTTAGGGGTCCCTGACACTGTTTGGGGGATCCTTGTTACTGTTCGGGGGGGCCCTGGCCCTGTTTGGGGGGATCCTGGCCTTGTTTTGGGGGTCCCTGACATTGTCTGGGGGGTCCTTGTTACTGTTTGGGGGGGTCCTGGCCCTATTTGGGGTGTCCTTGTCTGTTCTTTGGGGGGCCTTGGTGGGTCTCTGTCTGTTCTGGGGGGGTTTTTGGGGGGTCCCTTCCCTGACCACCCCCTTCCTTTCTCTCCCCACAGACCCTCCACCAACTGATCGGGCGCCGCTCCCAGCGGGATCCCAGC